ACCCACACCCACACCCACACCCACACCCACACCCACACCCACACCCCACACCCACACCCACACCCACACCCACACCCACACCCACACCCACACCCTTATTTTGTTTAATTAATAAGTAAGTGATAATTTATTTGTTAGAAATGACTAGCAATCAATGTTTTTTTGCTGGTTGTTTTGATGAAATTGTTTGTTCGTCTAAGTTAACTTGGATGGCTCTGTCAGAAGTGAAAAATGAGAAAGTAAGAATAAAATGCTTTGCTGGTGCTGAAACTGTTTTAGAAGTGATGCTTCTAAGAGCTGGTTTGTTTTTTCAGCATAAATTTAATACTGATACCGCTTTCGTTTGTAACGTTCATCGTAATTCACTTTTACACCACTTATATTTTACGAAAGCACAAAGTAAATGTGATACTTACTTGAATGTAAGAAAAACATTGTCATTCGCTAAGACGGACTTGAGAAACATTACTGTATCTCAAGCTATCACATTATTTGAAGTTTTCCAATTGAAAAACTCGTACGGAAAATTTATTTGTCGAAAGTATCGAATGGAAATTTCGGACAAAACGGAAGTAACAAGAGAAATACTTCATAACGACGCTTTTGAGTGTCTTTTCGATCCTGAGTCAGTATGTTGTAAAGAAGACTCTATGGAAGATAAAGATCTTGAATATCAGCCACCTTATGATCCTGCGACTGATAAAGAAAAATTAAAAGAACAAATAACAGCTTTGAACAATTTTCTTTCTGCCTGTGGCAGTAAAAGAAAAGTAAATGTGACAACTTCCTATAAGGATCTATCACATCGTGTCAAATTGCGATATGTAAGATTAGTAAAACTCATAACGCGATCAGCTACATTGTTGATAGCATCGGATGATGCTGACATGCTGATGCATGACTCATTTAAGGACGTAAACAGTGAAAATTCGAATATTGTTTTAGATGGAAATTTTCGTAAAATAATGAGTGGTATTTCAGAAGCATATACCAGTGCTGAATCGTGGCGATCGAGACGAGAGATTCTCTCAATCGTTGCACCGAAAATATCGTTAAATCTCATGCGACTGTTCATACCAGGTTTAACTGGTTACAGATTTTCTGCAGCGCGCTTGCAAGCTGCAAAATATGGTGTCGGTTCAAAAGTAGACATAATACCAAAGATTGTACAACGGTTTGATGATAATCAAATCGCCCACTTTGTTGATTTTATTATTTCACCTCACGTGTGTACGGATTTACCCTTTGGTGAAAAAGTGTTGAAGTTATCATCTGGAATTGAATTGTTCATTCCAAATACTATAAGAAATATGGGAGCAACTCGTATTATCGATCAGTATCTTCTTTATTGCAAAGAGATGTGTTCAGATTTTGAACCACTTGGTAAGAGTAGTTTATTTACTATTCTCGATACTTGTAAAGCATCAACAAGAAAGTCTTTACAAGGTATCAATTACTTTGCAGCTGAAGCTGGAGAAGCATTTGATGGTTTACGAAAAATGATTGAAGATAAAGTCGCTCTTTATAGTGATAGTGAACGACTTATTGAGAATTTGAAACGTGCTCGATTTTATTTGAAATCTGATTATAAAATGCACGTAACGAGATCAAGCAATATTGCTGATCATTGTTGTGTTTGTGCATTGAGCGATCCAGAAGGACGCAATTTTGCTCAAGATTGTGAGCATGAGCACGATGAATCGTGCATTGAATGTTCGAATCTAACGAACACGCTGAATGAAATCGAACGATTCATCGAAGAAACAGAAACAGACGAAGAGTTATTCGATCGAGCTTTGAAAAAGTTCCGATCATATCGTGAATCTATTGAAGCATGGAAAGCGCATTTACTGCGATCCATCAATCAAGATTTGTGTCGAGAAAATTTACTCGATAAGCTATCTAATAATGAGATTTATCTCAATCTTGATTGGGCCATGAAATTTCTTCCTGTGAAAAGTCGGGAACCACAGTCGGAATTTTTCGGTAAACGAGACATCAGTTGGCATATTACTGTTGCAATGAAGAATGATGCAGGTGTTGAAAATGAGAACAACACATTCGATGAAGACAGCGATGTCTTTGATGATAGTCAGCAAATCAATAATCAGGAAATGACTGATTTGTCCGAAGAAAACAGTGATGATACTAATGTCATTGATAAGAAAGGGAAACACTGTTTCAAGTATAAAGTTTTTGTACATGTTTTTGATCAGTGTACACAGGATAGTGAGACAGTCATCGCTATTTTGAGCGACGTTTTATGCCACGTCAAAGAAACTGATCCACAGATAAAAAATGCATTTATCCGATCGGATAATGCAGGTTGTTATCATTCGGCAAACACACTTGTGTCAGCCAAGCAAATATTGGAAAAGACTGGTATAGCAATCAAGCGAATTGATTTTGGTGATCCGCAGGGATGCAAGGGTCCTTCTGATCGTTATGCCGCCGTACTTAAGTCACATGTTCGTAGATATCTGAATGAAAATCATAATGTGACAACTGCTTCTGAATTTGTCGAAGCATGTCATTCATACAAAGGGGTCAAAGGTGTTTTTGCACTTGACTGCCGAATTGAAAATAATGAATTAAAAAAAAGTAAGAAGTGTACGATCAAGCAGATAACGAACTATTATAATTTCGAGTACCAAAGTCAAGGCCTTTTAGTACATCGCTCATGGAACATCAGTTCCGGCCTCTTGATACCGTGGTCACAGTTGAATCGCGATCAACCCATTTTCAATCTAATATCTAGTAAAACAGAAGGGTTTGTTCATGAATGGGTAGAGACAAAAGAGAGACATCGTGATGAAATTATGGATGTCGGCGGCTGTGATACACAAGAGGATGAATCATTACAAAACTGTTATAAGCAAAAGAATATATATACATGTGATGTTGAGCAGGGTTGTACTGCAGAATTTGTAAAATTTGGAAACTATATCAACCATATACTCATTGGTAAACATCGATGTACAGTTGAAAAACTTTTATTGAAAGATACAGCTATGAAAATGTATCATTCGAAATTAGAAGAAGTCGAAAATCGACGATTAATATGTATTGATATGAAGTTAACAGAAGTAATCGATGATGAAACGAGTTCTCTTCCGCAAGGTTAGGCTTTGCCCATACGCAAGCCGAACATAAATTTTTCAGACAAAAAGCGTGGATATCTCCAAAATAAATTCGATGAAGGCGTTTCCGATGTAAAACATTGGAAACCGAAAGAGGTGGTATTAGATATGGAGACCTTGAAAGAAAGCGGCAAGTTTTACTTTTCGGCTAGCGAAATTTTAAATGAAAATCAGGTTCGATCATTTTTTTGCCGACTAAAACGCGAAGGACAGATGATTGCTACACGAAATTCGACAGCTGGTAATGTAGTCGTCAAAGACAAACTTGTCAAAAATCCTACTCATGATAATAACGATGAAGAAATTGATGCAGAGATAGAAGCATTAAATCAAGACTTTCAAGATACTGAAATTACTCTCCAAGAAATCGAAATACTAGAAAGTTGTAGTATGAATGCTAAGATGGCACTTCAATCGTCTCTTTTGATGAATTCCTCACCTTCAACTTCAACTACGACATTAAAGAAAAACAAGTAAAACATAAAATGGACACATGTTTACCGAATTATGTCTATATCATCATAAATAAACGGGCACGGGTTTGCCGAATAATGTGCATATAAACATAATAAATGGGCACGGGTTTTCCGAATAATGCCCATTTATAAAGAATAATATTTTGTGCATGAGTGCGGGTATTCCGAGTAACACTCATAAACAAGATGGCGACACCGGTTTTCCCAGTAATGTCCCTCCTCTTCAAGCAGGATGGGCTCTACGTGCCGAAGAGGTGAAACACGGAAAAGGTTTTCCTTGACCGTGGCCAATAATCCTGCCCCCTATATTATGTAAGTATTCAACTATTTAAAAATAATACTAGAACTACCAGCGAAGATCGCATGAGCATTGAAGAACTTGTGAAGTGTTTCAATCTCTCTTTGCATGGCATTGTGACAATGCAAGATTAGCTAATTGATCTTATCTTCATAAAATATAATCAGTGATGATATTTTATTTTAAATAGAACATATATTCATTGAAATATGTCGTACCTGTGTGAAAAATACTCTAGATAATTCATAATCAACTCAAACTTCTATTTTTAATTAGAAAAAAATATTCATAATAATTTTTTCTTAAAAATGGTGTACAGTTGGTCAACATTGTGAGCCATTTTTTGCCTCAATACATAATTTTTTTTAAACGTTTTTTTAGTCATTTTGTAGTGGAGAAAAAACTGTACAACATATGTGAAATTCAACATGGAATCTTTTGAATTGACTGAATAGCAGATGATATATTGAAGATAGTTGACAGATTTTTTACTCAAAAAATTGTCAATCTTAGACAGTATTTGAGAAATAACTCTCGATCAGCACATTGAAATATAATTTGTAAATAGGTAATTTTGTTCAGCTTTCAATGCTCCATCTTTTGGTATATTACACGAAAAATTTCATTAACTTAATGTCATCGAAAAAATCTCAACTTTATATCAACAATTTTTGATGATATTTTTCAAATATCATCGTGAGTGCTCGACAGTAAAATTGAGCTAACTTTTCACCAGCTCAACGAAATGCGCTAAAAATTTGGATTTAGAGGTTTCAGATGATGCTGAACAAGGTGAGAATATCAAATCGAAAAACTAAATTTTGACGAGTGCTTCGATTTCTTGATGGCCTTACGAGTGCTCTCTTAAGTATCGCAAAATTCATCGAAGCCTAGCAGAATCCATCGGAATTCACCAATATGTAGGGGTGTCATTTTCCTGTTAAAGTCAAATAAATTTAAATTATCGATAATTTAAATTTAAAATAAATCTAAATTATTTTTTTCCATAAGTTAAATTTATTTTAAATTAAAATTACTGGTAATTTAATTTATTTTAGATTGAACTTATTTACTTTTTGTAATTTATTAGATTAAAATTAAATTAAATTATTTATGTATGATATTCAAAGTAAGAAATATTTCCTACTTTTAACCAAACATTTCTTTATCAATCGGGCCTTATCTAATATTTTCATTTAATTAACATGTCATGATGTGCCAAAAGGTCCTACCCCTACTGGTTATAAGTAGGATCGGAACAATTCTGTAGCAGTTTCAATCTGACGATCTGATCTGTTGAAACAGATCAGTTTCAGGAAATCATCGAGCCTTCAGGATGACCTACCTTATCCTGCTCCTCATAACTTTTCGGGCTCTACTTGGGAAAGATCCCTATAACCTTTTGGGCACTATCAATTGGAGGTTCCTACAACTGTTTGTGGCCTACCTTGGGATGGCCGCTACAACTTTTTGGGCCCTACCTAGGGATGCTATCTAGAGTTATCTCATCTGAAAGAGCACATCAAACTGTATCGACTGACGTTTTCAAAAATTTGTAGAAATGAATTTTGGTAGCAAAAAGTTTTTGAACAAGACTAGAAAGGCCGAATTTGGGGTCCGATTCTGATTATTAAGGTTGATGATTCATTATCAAATGTACAATTTAAGGATTTTAGATGAAAGCCCGTGTCGAGAAACCTCTAAATTCAAAATTTCAGCTCATTTGAATATGTCTGTGAAAAATGGTGAAAGACTTATTTTTGCGAAATTTTATGGGATAATATAAATTTATCTAATGCTCATATATCAATTAAAATACAACCAAAAGATCTGAAATTTCTACCATACACTATTCTCATCAAGTCCTTTATGTGTGCAAAGTTTCAGGCCAAAGTTCAAAATTTTATTTTTTTTCATGATCCTGAGGGGGACCACGGCAATTTTTCGGAAAAAAGTCAAACTTCGAATTTTGGCCTGAAACTTTGCACATATATAGGACTTGATGAGAATAGTGTATGGTAGAAATTTCAGATCTTTTGGTTGTATTTTAATTGGAATATGAGCATTAGAAAAATTTATATTATCCTATAAAATTTCGCAAAACTAAATCTTTCACCATTTTTCACAGACATGTTCAAATGAGCTGAAATTTTGAATTTAGAGGTTTCTCAACATGAGCTTTCATCTGAAATCCTTAAATTGTACATTTGATAATGAATCATCAACCTTAATAATCAGAATCGGACCCCAAATTCGGCCTTTCTAGTCTTGTTCAAAACATTTTTGCTACCGAAATTCATTTCCACAAATTTTTGGAAACGTCAGTCGATGCAGTTTGATGTGCTCTTTCATATGGGATAACTCTCGATTTATTCTAGGGCGCTGATCCGACCAACTTGCCATATATGCGTGAATACGCTTTCCAGAAATGGTATATAATACCAGGCAAAAATCATCCATCGATGAGATACTTCTATTACCATAAAAATATAGTCCATCGTCGATAGTATTTATGGTAAAAAAATCTCGGTTATATCTCTTGTTGTTCTTGAGAAAATAGAGATTTACTGGAAAGTATTGCACTATAAAGTACTCCAAATGGGACCTACCCCCTCATACTTGTATCGCCTATATCTCCAAAATGGCTCATCCGTTTGAGCTGAAATTTTCAGTTTCTTCTTAACTTTGTTAGGGCTATCCACTGTAAAAATATCAGACAAATCGGAGAGATCGATTGAGCAACGTTCTGCTGGAAATGGTCGTGGCTTAGGTGCAATGCCTCCTAGGGAAGCTATCTAGAGACTTTTGGGGCCTACCTAGGGACGGTATCTAGAACATTTTGGGCCCACCTGAAGGTGATATCTATAACTTTTTGGGCCCTACCTAGGGATGTTATCTAGAACTTTTTGGGTCCTACCTGGGATAGTATTTAGAACTTTATGGGTCCTACCTAGGGATGCTAGCTAGAGCTTTTTGGAACCTACCTGTGGGTGGTACCTAGAACATTTGGGACCCTACCTAGGGATACTATCTAGAACTTCTTCGGTCTTAGCCGGGGGTCGTATAGTCAATATCACTAGTAACGACGCATCCATCAAAAGTGGTGTATGACTCTATATAAGACAAAAACTAATATCAATTTTAATAGTCTGATCTACTGGAATTGTTTTGCACAACTTTATTTTCAACTTCATGAAAAATCAATTTTTTGTGACTGGGTTAGTCTCCAGGTATTCGAAAAAACATTTTTGTCTTTTTATCAATTATGGTCTTTACAGATCGATATAATAAAGTATACTGAATACCAATATCACAGTTTTTTCTATTTTAGTCGAGTAATAAGGGACATCGTGGGCATTTTTGAAAGACAAAAAAATCAGTTTTTGGCCTAAAAAAGCATTAATATTTGAGTGTGATTCATTGATATTAGGCTCATTCTATGCAGAATTTTTTTCTCTATCCGAATATATAAGAAGGTTTTGGAGATAAGAATCTTTTGAAATAGTTGATCGGTGAATACCACCCCGATTGGGTCCTATTGTCATATGCAGTGTTTACTTTACAACACTGAATCAATGAGATTTTTATACACAAAGCGTAACTCGATGAGCTCTTTCTAATGGAACTATTGTCAACACTGTTTAAACCGCTTTTGTACCCTTTGTACAGGTATCCTAGACGAAGAAAGGCGTACGTATAGTGATTACCTAATCGATGCTTATCATTGTCAAAATAGTTCCATTAGAAAGAGCTCATCGAGTTACGCTTTGTGTATAAAAATCTCATTGATTCAGTGTTGTAAAGTAAACACTGCATATGACAATAGGACCCAATCGGGGTGGTATTCACCGATCAACTATTTCAAAAGATTCTTATCTCCAAAACCTTCTTATATATTCGGATAGAGAAAAAAATTCTGCATAGAATGAGCCTAATATCAATGAATCACACTCAAATATTAATGCTTTTTTAGGCCAAAAACTGATTTTTTTGTCTTTCAAAAATGCCCACGATGTCCCTTATTACTCGACTAAAATAGAAAAAACTGTGATATTGGTATTCAGTATACTTTATTATATCGATCTGTAAAGACCATAATTGATAAAAAGACAAAAATGTTTTTTCGAATACCTGGAGACTAACCCAGTCACAAAAAATTGATTTTTCATGAAGTTGAAAATAAAGTTGTGCAAAACAATTCCAGTAGATCA